GAACATTATTTTGAGTTGAATGAGGATGAAACTTATTCGCATCCAGTGACATTTGATCTACAATCACTATTCAAATCAATAGGACAAATTAGTGAATTTACTGAATTGATACTTACTGCAAATTTACCATTGACGGAGCTAAAAAGACTTACATGGTTATCGAGTGAACAAGAATCATCTCACATATTTGTTCCAGGTATGTTGTTAAATGAATAGATTATTTTTAATGAAACTATTTTTGGTAACTTATTTTTAGAAGAAAACGCTGCAACAAATACAACTATTAGACTTATACCAATGCAAATTCGAACATTCAATGTTTTGGTACAATAAATGGTCGCTACAAAACATAATAACTTAAAACTTGACATACGTGTAATTTTTTTTTTCATTTAAAATGAATATTTTCATTTATAATTTTATATTTCATATATTTAATCTAAAGTTCAATAAAGAAATAAATTAATACCAATCGATCTATTTCTTTTATATAAATAAGAAAAGAATATTGATTGTAATTTTCTTTATGGATCTTTAAGTTTTCTCTCGAGTGGTATGGATTTGAAATCGTATATGTTAGCAAGAATATCATTCAAATAAATCAAAATATTCTCTTTTCATCCAATGTCATTGTAGCCTTTCATATCATAGAAACTCTTTAATCATCGTCTACACTCAATTACACAAATTCAATAATAATCTGAAAGAAAATTTGTTCACAGAATATCACAACTTTCTTGTTTTAGTTACGTATGATCTGGGACTTGTAACATAAAACAATTGTACTTAAATTCTTTGACTCATTCAATCATAACTTTGCTTTGTTCCTGCTAAATAGACTGTATACAGCGTACTACTAGTACTCATCAAAACCATGGTTTACGAGTATTTACTTTATTATAGTCTACAAAATGTTATTAGAAACCTAGCTGATGGTAATAAAAACATTCATATAGAGTTACATTTAATTTACAATCTATATGTAGGTCATTAGAAACAAGCATTAATATGGTTAAAATCACAAATGATGTAAATTTACCATCAGCTAGTATGCACTCACTCAATTGAGTAACTAGTGTTTAGGAATCATCTCAAATGAATATTACTAGTAAGTTATTTATATGTGTTTGATGAATATTGTTTTTATATTGAAAAAGACAACAATGAATGCTATAACTATGTTATTGAATATTTCTTATAGGATTATTATCAATAAGGATCAGTGTAACATCCATTTTGTTTTTCTTAGCTTTTATTCAAAATAAAGATATTTATATGAGATACCGTAGAGAACAGAAGTATATATATATACATATAGAATTGTCTTATATGGAACGAAAGAGAAAGAGAAAACAACAATAAAACAAAAACCTTTTCGTTACATCTTGTTTTTTTCTAATGATGATCAATCGATCGAACAAAAATAAATAGACCAAGCGTCAAATAAATGAATAAAGCAATCACATAAGTTGCTAACGACCAAGATAATGAACGACGTGAGTGTATCAATGCTTGTTCAAAATATCCATTTCGTTCACAATGTAAAGATTTAGCAGCATAGAAAACAGCAACAACACCTAAATGAAAATATTTTGCGAAATTATTTTTAATATATATATCTTTATATACCAGTTGCAAAAAATAATAACGATGAAATAATTGCGCAAAGAAGATGTCTTTTTGGATGAGCTTTTTTATTTGTAAGTAATTGAAGTGGTTTTTGAAATGATCCATCTAATCGGTTGAATAATAAATTATTTTAGTGAGAAAAAAATTACAATATTTTACCAAGCTGTGTACTTCCACGTTCGCCAACTAACGATGGGCCCGATGTTGACCATCGACATGGTGATAATTTTTGATGAGAATGCAAACCTGAACATGCTTGTGATGAAAACATATTTTTTTCTATTTACACTAATATTAAATTTTACAATAAAAAAAATTCATATCTGAAATAATCAATGACGTCAAGATGCATAATTTCTAACTAGAAAATCATGTCAAAATATATCCTATCAGAAGAAATAGTCAGAGTATCCTACCTATTAATAAATGTCGATAGTAAATTGTCATACTATTTTTGTGCAAAAAAAGAAATTCTAATAGAAAGTTTCCGTAAGCACTTTAGAAATTAAATATTAACATTTTTGATATAAATTATATTCGTATCTTCATTTTTTAAAATAACCATTAAAAAAAAAGAATTCTAATTTGTTATCATTGATTGAGTGAGTATTAAGAGACATCATGTTAATAGTAGATAAATCAATAAAATGATGTCTTAAATGAAAACTTTCATTCAATATGCTTGCATTAAAATTATCAATAATAATACAAAAGAAAAGAAAAAGCAAGAAAAAAGTGAGAATGACATACGGAAATCGTTCGTTCGCTTGCGTGAGATGTTCACAATTGATTATTGTATATATGAGTAGGCGCACATCGAAACGATATAGTATGATGAAGAAGAAGAAATAAAAAAGAAATAGAAAGGAGAAGAGAAAAAGAGGACGTGACTAGACCATTTTCAAAACACGCACATAACATCTCATTGAAAAAATAACATTCGTTTCCGATTAGTATTTTCTATAAGGTTCTCAGTTATTTTCTTACCTTGACAACAACAGAATTCATAAAAACAAAAAACAATAAAAATCGATATTTTTGTATATTAGACTTATTTGGAGGGTTACCTTAAGAAAAATATTTTACATGACATGCTAAAAACATTTCTTTTTTCAGTTGAAATTATTATACATTCTAAACAGCACCTCTCACTAATAGAAGTATGCTAGTAGCAGTGAAATATGATTATCTTTCATGAAAGATTGCTTTTGGCGTTGTGGAAATTTATCTCTTAAGTAATATTTATAATAACAAGCACTAAGATATCATTATGATTAGCATGATATGATTTCTAATTGACGATTTAAAAAAACTTGTCTCTTCTAACATGATATAGTTAAAAATCAAATACTTATCCATTCGAAAGGAAAATGATTTACTACAATATACTTGTATATAATTATACATGAATCTATAAGAAATAAATGATCTTATCTACGAATATTAATGATAATGAAATATGACAGTATACATACTCATAAAAAACTTATTGTTGTCTTCTAATGGAAGCTAAATATACAGTAATATATGATCATAGTCTATAATCGATTGTTGTGTGTTTTCCTAAAATGTCTACTAACAAATAATATTGTCTGTTTCTCGCGGGTGTACTTATCGTTGCCCGCTTTTCTAATGATAAAGATGAATACAAACGAGAAAACTGAATAATAATAAAAGCATATATAAATATCCCCCTCACTACAAACATCATTATTATCTGTTTGTGCACAGTCGGTTTTTGCATCGTCGGCATTTAATATACATTATCGATGTTAGTACACATGGATATCCTTGTAAATCATTAGCTTACTAGTTATCTGCAAGATGTAACAAAGAAAAGAAAAAAAAGGAACGACAGAAGCTGTGAAGCAGCAGTATCAAGAGAAAGATAGAGAATCTAGGTACTTGTTTGTGTATAAAAGTAGATCAAGTCGACATCATAATATAACTCATATACTAGCAAAACATGCAAGATCTGATACTAAAGAAATATATAATTAGATTGATTGGTTACCACCAGAAATAAAATAACACAAAAAGTTAAGAAGTTTACTCCCAAAAGATCTATTCACATGACTAAGATTATTCTACAAGGATCAGCATGAACAAATGAGAATGTGTTATATTGATAAGCTACTGATACTCAGTGTAAAAGGCTTTTTTTATTATTCTGTTATTATTGATTATCTAGAAATAGAACAATATAGAACGACTATAATATACATTGACATAATAATTTACCATAAATTTCTTCGGTCAAATAAAGAATCACGCATATATTCGTGATGGGATTTTGATGACGGAATAAATATATTTTAGAATATAAGTTAAATATTTTCATATGCTTATGAGATGAATTAGATGTTCTGTTCGATCTACTATAATAACAAAAAAAGCAGGTCAAAATAAATTGCTTGATTAAATGACATTAATTATAGTACTTATTATAGTGATATATGATAAGACTCGTATCTTTTTACCAATGATAGAGAATTTTCTTGAATAATAAAAACGAAAATGCTGTTAATTATTAGATTGACACTTGAGAAATTATAAGAATTAAAAATATTTTTCGAATAAAATTCATTTAAAGATAAGTTGCTTCATTATTACAACAGTTGCCACATGATTTCTCGAAAGTCAATCAAAAGAGATCATTTAGTATAAGTCCTATTAAACTATGTTAATGTTAAAGATGTATTAGCATACTCATTCTTAACCTATTGCGATTGATATTAGACAAAAAATATTTATCTCATCCGAAGAAAAATATACAAATTACCATATGGGAATATATTATAGATCGATGTTTTAACGCTTGGCTTATACATCCAGTTGAATATTATCAATGTGCGTCAGCAGATTATAATAATAGTTCATGACATTTTGAAATTATAATAAAAAATACATGAATTTATATAATTTAAAAAACGGTGATGTCTACACGATCATCAGAGCAACTCAACTGGAATAATAATTATATAGTCGTAATAAAAGTACTACAAAAATCAGCAGGTTTTTTTGTTCTATGTATAAACTATAAATTTTGTTGTATGTTATACTTATTTAAATGAAATGAAAAGAAAGATGTATATGATAATAACGTATTGAAAATAGTAGTTTTTATTTTATTCTATTAAGTTCTTCACATATAAAATAAACTACTAATCAAATATATTTTGATCAAAAAAGAGAGAGCGAGTAACAAAATAATATAATAATTCGTTTTTTCTTCTAATGTAATTAATGCTTAGACACATTTGTCGTCGATACATTCTAAAAAAAAAGGATAACAATAAAGAAATAATTTTTACAAGTTTCTTCATACCATTACACTTAAAGTATGACTAACTGTCGTTGTTATTAGAGGTAAGAGTTTTGGAACTAAACAATATTATATTTATTTTATACACATATAATGTCAATTACATACTATTATCTTCCACAAGTTCTTTTTTAAATGTCATAATAGTACAAATAACGAGTGAAATAATACCAAGTATCATTAATATCTAAATAAATGAATGAATAAAAAAAAATACTCATACTAGAAAATATGCTAACTTTAGTTTTAAGAATATCAGTTCCATTCGGCATAACATAAAGAGCAATAATCGCAGGGAGAATGTAACAAATTAGTTGTCCACTAGTTGCACCTGTTAATGCTAATGCAAATTCCAAATTTGGAATGCAAATTGCAATAAATGTTGGTATAAAAACAATAATTGCTGTAAAAATAATAAATAATCGTCGTGGAATAATATGACATTCTCCAAAAAGAGATTGTTGCTGCTAGAAAAAAATATATATCCTCTTTAAAAATCTATTAAATACAATAAATTTATACTCGATCACTCCATAATGTAAATAAACTTCCACGTGTTGGATTAACCATAAATGGAATTCCAGTCGTGCAATTAAGTAAAAAACCCCATAGAAATATTTGTTGAAATAAATTTTTTGGAAATATTTGCATTATATTACCAGGTATTGTTTCATAGATTGAAAAAAATGCTAAATAACCAAAAAGACCAGTCTAGAAACAAAAAACAATATCGTTTAATTTTTATCTGAATAAATGAAAAAAAAGATCAATTCATTTTACAATAAAGTAAATAAGTCCAACGAGTGTAACTGATAAATCAATAATATCATTTATTGCATGAGATGTTGACTCTGATAATTCAGAAAAAACGACAAATAACATTCTAAAAGAATAAAGATGAGTTAAGTATCTATTTGCTAATTTCAATCTTACGTTTGACATGAAAATGAGAGTGAAACAATAGGTAAACTAATAAATAAACCACTCCATTTCCAATAAATAAGTTTATCCATATTGAATGATACTGTTTCTGAATTGAACCATAATTGAGAAAATGTCTAAAACCAAACAAAAAAATATTCCTATTGAAATTTTTTTATTTAATTACATATATACAAAATAGAAGATAAAAAATAATCGATTGAATTGATATTGGTATTAAATGATCAAATCTTTCAGATAAACTTAATGGAAATGAAACCGTACATGTTAATATTAATATTACACAAGCTCGTATGAATGGTGAGTTCTAAACTAAAATAATGTATATGAATCAATGATAGAAATATTAATACAAACTTACCGTTATATGAAATCCTTGTGAAATAGCGGTTGAACCAAGATCACCTATAATCATTTGATAAGCTACTATTGAACCACATAGAAGGCCAATAGAACTAAAAACAGGGAGAAGTAAATATTTTTAAGTAAATTATCTATTAACCTCAATTCGACCATAAATTTCATTGAACGTCCTATTATCTTTATAAAAAAGAATTAATTTCAATGGAATAAAATTTTCTGTTTTTTTACCCATTGCTCGTAATCCTAAATATTCGTATGTTGTTGAATGAGTAGCTTGAGCACTTGCAATAAGTATTTTACATGAATATGATGTGATTATCGCACAAGTAATCATTAATAATGTTGCTAGAATAATACCACACTAGAATTTCAAAAAAAAAACGTTGAATTATTTAAGATAATAATTAAATTTCATTACTTCTTGAAAACAATAAGGCATTGAAAGAACAGATGCACCAACAATAGCATTGGATAAGCTCAATACACTTTTATGAGGAAAATTTGATTGTAGAAATTTGCTAAAACTTAAATGCATTATTAATCTAAAAATTAAAATAAAAATTATATGGAATCGACGAGGAATAGATTTTTAAAATTATTATGACATGGTAATATAATTTCTTAACTTTAAAAAAATCAATAAATTACAATGCAAAAAGATTTGCCAATTTGAATCTATAAATTTTTACATGATCAATTTCTTCTATAGAAAATTTTTACATATAATCATCTTTCGAAAAAGAAAACCAAATAGTTTTTTGTTCTAATCCCACGTCTGTTAATAAATAAAGTAATAAAAAAAAAGAGAATATACAACAAAAGAAAAAGAAAACTAGGATATATATCATTTATAACAATTGTTTTTGATCTAGCTACTATGGAAAGAAGAAGAAGAAAAAAATAATAATTGTTTTAATTTGTTGCATTTGGTTGTTGTTGTATAACAACATCTCGAAAAGCTATTGAATATGGTTGCATTTGTTTTAGAAAAACATTTAACATATCTGTTAATGCTTTTGATTTAATATGTTCCGTAGCTTCTGGTATTTGTGTTATAAGTTCTTTTAATTTATTTGATGTTTCACTTTCCATACAACGTCCAAGACATTCTTGTAAAGCAATTAAATCTAAACATGCTTGCATACCACCAGCTTTACTAAATTGATTGATATTTGAATATAATTTAGCTAATTCATTAACTAATGTTGATAATATACGTGATAAAACTAGATATACTAATTGACTACTTATAGAATAAACTTCAGCATGTACACGAGCTAAATCAAGTATAATATGTTTAACGTAATCTTTAACTGATGTAACACGTATATGTGTTGCCCAATCGAATCTTCCTGCATACATACGAGATTCTAAACGATGTAAAAATGGTCGAAGATATTCATTTTGTACTGTATCTAATAATCGTTCATCAACACGTTTATATATTATTTCAACTTCATCATAAACACGATCCATTCCACGAAAACCATAATTAAGAAAAATTTTTTTTAAACGTGGAAGTATAAAACGACGTGTATAAGCAAAATTATTTAATATAATTATTAAACGAAGAGTTTTTGATAAATGTTCGGATGATGTTATCATTGTTGTTGATGATGATAATGGTTCAATAGAATTTGATGTTGATGATGAACAATCTTTTATTAAAAGTTCAAATACAGATGCAAAATCACCTAATAAACGATAAACAGCTATAGCTGCTTGTTTTGTAGCTTCTTTATCTTCAAAAAACTTTAAAAAGAAAAATTTTTATTAATAAATTTCTTCGATAAACTTACTTTTCGTTCTCCTTTGGTTACATTAACAGAAAGAACATTTTCATA